TGACTTTGCTGGAGACAGAGTAGAGCGTAAAAATACTTCTGGAAGCTGCCAGTTTCTGGGAGAAAATCTGATTTCTTGGTCCAGCAAAAGGCAATCCACAATTGCGCTATCAACAGCAGAAGCTGAGTACATAGCAGCAGCAGGATGCAGCACACAAATGCTCTGGATGAAAAGTCAGCTTGAAGACTTCCAGATATTTGAGAGTAACATTCCTATACTTTGTGACAACACTTCTGCCATTTTCTTAAGTAAAAATCCCATTTTGCATTCTAGGGCTAAGCATATAGAAATAAAACATCATTTCATTAGGGACTATATTCAGAAAGGCATTTTAAACTTAAAATTTATTGATACAGACCATCAATGGGCTGATATTTTCACAAAACCACTTTCTGAAGATAGGTTTAACTTCATTCTGAAACATCTCAGCATGAAGCTCTGCCCAGAGTGAAAATGTTTTAATTTTATATATTAACCTTCAGAATGTGTCTTATTTTACTGTGAACTTCTGATCAATCTTCTTTCAGAAAGTTAGACATGCAGATTGTATCGGAGTCTATCCATAAAGATCTGAGCGTTTCATTTCAAGGATAGACGTGCTGTTCACCAAATCAAACAAGTGTCATCCATTCATCAACTAATTTCTGAAGCAGAACACGCGTGCACGCTTCTGAGAAGGCAAAACGCTGATTGGATGCATTGAGACACATGTCATGGGTAACCGTTCCAAATATCTCTCTAAATCCCCCAAAATCAGCCAACATTAAATGCTAGTAATCATGATTTAATTCTCTCTCTTAAAACGTTTATATTTTCAAAACACTTTTTGAAACCTATTTAAACACTTTAAACATCATCCATTCTCTTTTACCGTCTCTTACAAATCTTCAACATTTTTCTGTGATTCCTTCTTACTGTGTGTTCATTTTTTTTCTCTCAAAGAAACCAATTTTCAAACTTTGTCTCTCAAACCCTTGTGTGAACATGGCATCTTCTAGCATTCCATCTGCAGGTTCCCAGCAAGATGCTTCTTCTGAACAATATCAGATTCCCTTCAGAACGCTCCTCACTCCGGTCAAGAACTTGGAGGTTCTGTCAAAACTGATAGTAGATTTCAACAGCTTGAAGGAAAATGGCTTTGATTTGACTGAAGAAATTAAGGCACAAGGATGGGAAAGGTATTTTGATAGGTTGGTGGGTCCAACGTTCCCAATTCTGGTTAAAGAATTCTGGATTCATGCGTCTGCCTCAACTCATTAAGTTACTTCGTATATCATGGGAAAGAAGATAGTGATTACTGAGGATCACATTGCAAGGCTGATTGGATACAATGGTGGTGGTATCCGCTGTATTGACATGGCAGATAGATGTGTAAACTCTACCCTAATTGCAAGAGAGATTTTCACACATGGGGTTCCCAGCAGCAAAATAAGAGATTTGAAAGATCAGCACAGAATCTGGGCAAAGATCATTCTGGGCTGCTTCAACCACAGGAAGCCTACAAGCTCTCCTGACTATATAAACATAGATCAGCAATTTCTGATTTATTTTATTGCAAAGAAGTCCAAGATCAACCTTGCTCACCTTCTGTTCAATCATTTGAAGATAAGCGTCAAAGAAACTAGAGAAGAAGAAAGGACTAAAAGGGATTGGATATTCTAACGAAGAATAGGCTGATTGAACACCTGACAGAGGCACATGAAATAAGCTCTCTAGAACCTTCTGTTGGCAAGCAGCTGAATGCCAAGAATCTGAAGAAGATGAAGCTGATAGAGAATATAAGGAAGGAGCCCAGCATCACTCCTCATGCTGAAATCACCAGCAGAAGAGTCCCTCATGCTCAAACCTAAACAACCAGATGTTGGTTCTAGCATCTTGAATTTTGAAACAGACATGCAGAATTGGATTTCTTCTCTAAAGCAGGCTTGTCCGGGAGTGATTGATCCTGTTGTTTCAGACCAACTCTGGACACAATTCAGAGGATGGGTACGCGCTGAAACCTTTAAGCTGCAAGACCTAAACTATGAACAGGCTCAACAGAACTTCAAAAATCTGCTGAAAGAAGTTGAAGGTCCAGTCTTGAGTCAGCTGCTGAAGGAGGAAGTTCTTCATCTGGACAGTGAGCCTTGGTCTAAAAAGCATCCAGCTTCAACAGTTCAACCAGCAGAAGATCAGACGATTCCAGCTGAAGATCTTAGTCAAGAAGAAGATGTTGCAGAAATCTCTCAGAAGCATCCTGATTCTGACGTCTCTCAAGCTGCATTGGACAGGCAGACTCTTGAAGAGCTGAAGCAAAATGATATTCGTCTGCAGAAAAGAATGGATGAGAATGATCAACGAATGAAAGAAAGGATGGATGTGCAAGATAGTAAGATTGATTCAGTAGTCAGCATGGTGCATCAGCAGAAGGAAACCGCTGATCAGATTAAGAACATGCTAGAAGCTCTGTTCACACGTCTTCCACCCCAACCTTAGATTTTGTTTCTTGATGTTTTCATTGTTTTCTTTACATGTTATCTGTACTATCTTCTGAGCTTTGAACTAAATACAATCGTTTTTCTGCACTGATCGTTTTTTTTTAACTTCAATTACTTACACTTTTTGATTGCTGACAAAAAGGGGGAGAAAGAGAATGATATTTTTCAATAACGGATTACTGAGACAAAAGTCTCAAACATTCTAACACTCTGATATACTTGAATGTTTCTTTGTTCTGCATAAGCTTACAGGTACAAGAAGTTAATTATCTCTGATACACTGAAGCTCTGCTCTAGTAAAAGAAAGATCTTATGCTCAAAAAAGTTCAAGAAAGATCTGATGCTAAAGGACTCATGGAATTAAAAGGGAAGTAATAAACTCAGGGGGAGTTTTTCCACAACTCTGATAGTTTTTTTCTTATCTTCTTAAGCTCTGATACCTTTTTATTCCTCCTTATCGTTGACACCTTTCTGTTTATCTGTGATACAATTTATTATTTGGTTATCTATGATAATTCTGCCTTTAAATTTCAATTGAAAATATCCAGTTTTTGTCATCATCAAAAAGGGGGAGATTGTTAGAACAAAGTTAGAATCTACTACCCTAAGTTAAAGTTTTGATGATAACAAAATGCTAGATTAAATAAATTGTATAATTCATATGAGACATATATGCTACCTAAAAATAATATAATGCATTTACAGAAACTCTAATGGATAGCATCAGAAGATGAAATATCATATGCCAACATCATAATATGGAATATCATACGCCAGCATCAGAAGATGAAATATCATATGCCAGCATCAGAAGATCAAAGCATGTGCTTACGCTGAAGCTTGATGAACAGATCTGCGCTTAACATACTCTAAACTCTGATCAAGACCAAAATAATATCATCAGCAGTTAGAAGCGTCAGAATAAGCCAAAGCTAGCAACACGCTTAAGTGACAACGGTACTGTGCATTCAAGACACTTTATTACCAACGGTTGTATTCCAAGACAAAGATCTTCTCAACATGGAAAGAACGTAATGGGCATTGAAATGGAATAAGTGACTACAACGTATCTTTTCTAAAGCTATATAAACAAGTCAGTGAGAAATGAATTGGCTAATGCTCTACAACTCTTCACACGCATAAAGAAAATCATTTTCATCCTCACTCAAAAAGTTTGCTATATCTCTCAAATTGCTTACTCTCTAGTTATAGCATCCTAGTTTAACATAAGCTTAATTTGTGTATTATCACAGTTGTGATATAAAGTTTTTATAGAAAACATTCACACACAGTTTTCATTTATCTGTAAGAAAGAATTTCCTTGAGAAACTGGTCTGTGGTTTAGACTCAAGAAGGCTTTAGCAGTTGTTAAAGCAGTTGTAATATTCAGTTGAATATAGTGGATTAAGACCTCGTTGGAGAGAGGCGAAATCACCTTGACGGGTGGACTGGAGTAGTTTGAGATCAAACGAACCAGGATAAAAATAACGTGTTGTCTGCATTTATTTTCAAGTTTTACAATTCAACCCCCCTTCTTGTGTTTTTTCACTTCTTCAATAAGCTTCGAGTCGAATAGCAGTTGAAGGTGAAGTGTGGGTACCTACAAGACACTCCGATGTCAAAGTGACGTTCAGAGCTTAACGCAAGTAAGTGAGTATGAGAGTGTGAATAAATCAATACTTGACCCTCTCAAGTGAGAGGGTATTTATAGCCCCCAGCTCTGGGCCAAGGTCTTCAATGTTGGGTGAGGCCCAATAACAAAGATTGTCAGGGCTTACGTGCGTATGGAGTCCAACACGTGGTCTCCTCCCTGATCAACTGCTCTGAGAGAATAAATGTTGAACCTGTGATTCCCGAAGGACAGTTATGATAACGATATGGACACGTGGACAACGTCTCCTTAACGGACACGTAGGAAAATGTCCAGCAGTCTCCAACTTGAGTTGTATGCCTTTAGGCCTTGGACAAAAACAATGAATTAGACATCCCCTACGATGAAGCAAGTGCTAGTCCAGTCCATAATTCTAATGATTGTCTTTAATCAAATACTCAAACATTATATTAGCTATTATACGGTGGGACGTACACCAACGTAAAGTTGAACACGCGCATATGCAAAAGAAAATAATATATCTACTAGTTTCATCAAATCCTACCTAACACCGTATCTATTTTGCCTTTAAAAAATAAATAAATAAATGAAATATAAATAAAATAACATTTTGATGTTATAACATAAAAAAATATATTGATATAGGTAGGTCATGTCGTGAGATTGAGGTTGAGAAGAACCAAAGGTGACACGAAAAATGGGAGAAGAAAAAAGTTCTTTTCGTGGACCAGTCATACAATTCATCTCTTTCTTTAATGTGCTCATTTTAATTTCACATATTCACTTTACCTCCCATAGTGGTCTTATACTAAAATAATACGTATATATATATATATATGTTGTGAATCGTGATAGAACCACCATCCTTTTCAAAACTCATTTATATTTTCTTTTGCATTCTTGTCATCCTCATGGATTCTCAATTCTTGCTCGGTATTGCATTTTCATCCATTGGTGGCTTCAGCACTTCCATTGGTATGTGTTTCTGTTTCTTCTAGACATTAGATAGGTTTTAGAAGAAGACACAAACTTTGTTTACTAAAGTTTGTGAATATGAAACAGGTGCACTTTTTGTAATTATGAGTAAAGCTCCAAGTTTGAGAATGCTTGGATTATTACAGGTAGTCCTATCTATTCTAATAAAAATCTTCTCTTTTAGTCTGTAAGTCATAGTTCAACTGGCAGAAGCCGATATTGTTAGGGGGCGCCATTACTAGAGTTAGAAGCATGATAGTCACTGTTGTGTGTGTGAATTAATAGGGTTTTGCTGCTGGTTTAATGCTGAGCATATCATTCTTTGATCTTGCTCATAATGCCATAAACTCACTTGGCTTCCTAAGAGGCAACCTTTGGGTAAACCTTTCTCTTCTCTTAACTTCTTCACCATAATTATAGTATTCTACATTGTTGTTTCATATTTGTTCTGACCATGATGTTTTATTTTCTTCTTCATATAGTTTTTTTCTGGCGTCATATTCTTTGCTATTGTTGCCAACTTTATTCCAGAACCAACAGCTCCTCCTCCAGATAAGAAAAACAAAAAGGTCATTTTAATGAACTTTGATTTTCTTTGATATTTTTTTCTATATATATATATATATTAACTCTTATGAATAATTTTCGCCACATGCTTGAAAACATCAAGGTTGGTAACGAAGAAAACAAGAACACCATTAAAAAACATCGCCGTCAGGTTTTATACAGTGGAATTATTACAGCCATAGGTATAAGTTTACATAATTTTCCAGAAGGCATGGCAGTGTACCTTGGATCCATGAAGGTAAATAAATACCTCATCTTTCACAATTTTAAGGTGGTTACATCAACTAATGTTTATGTTGTTTCTTGTCGCATATATATGAATAGGGTCTTCGTGTTGGTCTTAACCTTGCATTGGCCATTGCTCTTCACAATATCCCTGAGGTATAAATTCTTGATATTTTAGTAATTTTGTTTGTTTTCATTCTAGTTTTTTAGTTTCACATAAAAATTTGTAATGTTCTCTCTTCTTTATAGGGTGTTGCGGTTGCACTTCCGGTTTATTTTGCAACAGAGAGGTAAAAGCCTTCATGTTCATGGTCTCCTATGAACTCATGAGTTATTATTAATATTATTATTATTTGGATTCGGATTATTTAAAATAGAAATTATACAAATATCTGTGAATTTGAGTTATAACTTATTTTATTTTATTTTATTTCTTCATGTGTTTAATAGTAAATGGCAGGCATTCAAATTGGCATCACTTTCTGGCTTAGCTGAGCCCTTGGGTGTTGTTATTGTTGCATGTTTATTTCCTACTAGCCTAAATCCTGAGATTCTTGAGGGTTTGCTAGCATCAGGTTTGCACTGCTAAATAACTCCTTTTTTTATTTTGGCACTTTATGATGTATATTGAATTTGTTGAATATTGTGTTATGATTACAGTTGGTGGCGTTATGGCTTTTTTAACCCTTCATGAAATGCTTCCATTGGCTTTTGAGTATGCCGGACAGAAACAATCTGTTAAGGCTGTGTTCTGTGGAATGGCTTTCATGTCTGCTAGGTGATAAACCTTTTTCCATCTCCAAGAGTAATTTAGACTAGTGTGCTATGGAGATTATTTCTTACAACTAATTTACTATTGTTTGGTGTGTGCAGCCTCTATTTTCTACGTTTGAGTTTACCAGAGGACACTGGCTTGTAGATGGATGAGATGTGTTCCAATCTATCGTTGCAGATTGTCTTCAGAATGAGACTCACAAACTTCCAATGATGATATTGTGCAAGACTCAATAAAGGATAACATAGGAATTTAGGATATGTTTCCCCTCCCATTGCATACAATGTACAAAGAAGAGGAAAAAAGTTTACTTATTGAAATTGTGATAATCAAAATAAAATAAGATTATATGTATGAAAATTGTGTGTTTAGTGTTATTTTTTTTTAATCATGTATCTATAGCTTTTTAGATTAATATTTTGAAACAAAAATTATATTCTTTGATAAAAATATTATGTTTTTAAAAATTAATAAATTTTTAACAGTTTTATCTTCATAAATTATTCATGTAATGTCAAACAATCCGACCACATGTGAATTTTGTTGGGGGGTTTTATATTAGAAGCATTGATATAAACTTGATGATTAGACATCTTTGTGAGAGACACATTATTTATTTATATAAAACTTTAAAATGATACATGAGTGGATTCTCCTACTTACATATTCTCAAGTCACCACATTCTTAATCAATGTGAGATTATTTCCCCAATTACTTACACTTGTATTATTATTCTAACAAATTTAACGTTCTTTCAAAATATTTTTGAGGAACATAACTCTTAAAAATTTGTCTAGAAACAAGTCTGCATATGTTTTTAATGCAATATTTGGTCTCAAAAGAATTTATAGCTCGACAAGAGGAGCAACACATCACTAAAATTGTTGCGGCTAAATAAGGATCTATCAAAGGTACTCTCGTTTGGGTGAAGATTATGTTGTAATTATTTATTAACTAAGAGATTAATTAAATATGTAATTATTGTTGTGTTTCAATAATATCATGACATCTCGTAAATAAGTAAAGAGATGCAACACTTAGTAAAGAATTAGTAAAAAGTTACAATACTTGATAAATTAGCGTGATTTATCAAGGGTCATATTACTTAATAAAGAGTTACAATACTTGATAAAAGAGCGCGTTTTATCAAATGTCACAATACTTCAAGAGTTACAACATTAGGTGAAAGGGCCATTTAGTCAATAAATAAATTGTTTCAAATTCAAAAAATCACACCAATTAAAACTCTCTTCCTTGTTTAAATTCTAAGACAAAATAGAGAGTGTTTGAAATACTATTAAAAAATACTCTCATGTACGATTCTAGCATTAATCCATTTAACTTATTGTCATTATCTAATAGTTTAATAGTATCTCAAATAATGACTATCGATGCTTTAGTTTCAAGCATAAAAGCGATAAACCAAGACCTTGTCAAGTTGAACTGTTTTGATGGGATAAACTTCACTCGCTGGTGAGACAACATGATCTTCCTGTAAGAATAAGATTTGATTCTGCATCTAACCTTGAGTTTTGATGATAACATTACATGGGTGATTAGATAACAATTTAGTATCCTAATGATTTGTTTAGTGTGTAGCTTTTGCTAACAGGTTCTGACTCTGAAGATTGGCGTGTGACGTCATCAGATTTTGGACTCAACATACTGAAGGATACAAGTTTGTGATTCATAGCTTAGAATGCGTCTAAAACAACGATATGATATAAAGTTAATTTTAAAGTTTCTGACCGTAACTCAGCTAGTAGAGCTTCTGATATGTTCTCTAGCTTTGAAGATTTCAAGTTCTTTTGCCCAAGTTCTGAATATTCTAAAGACAAGGTTTAGTTGAACGAGTTTTGAAGATTATGAAGACCAATGATTATCTAGACTAACTTCTGGAGACTCTAAAGACAAGGTTCTGTTGAACGAAGTTCTGAAGACTCTGGAGAAAAGGTTATGAAGACTCTGAAGACCAAGTGTTGACGACTATGAAGACGAGGTTAAAGTTGAACAAGTTTAGAAGACTCTGATGACATGGTTCTTGAGACTTAGCTTTGATCCTTCTACACATGCTTCAACCATTATACATCCAAAAGCCTTTGAAGATTAGAAGAGAAGAGAAAAAAGTTTCACATGAGTAATGGTACAAGGTACAACATCACCTCACATCCACTATGTTGTTTTTGTGGCACAAGGACAATACTATTGTACGAGGTTTCCTACCACTCTCATTGACCGTTGCAAGAAGACATCTGGAATTTTGGTATCTCTATTCTACCCTTCAACGAGTTTCCTTTTGGCTATAAAAATAAGACTTGGAAGAATTGGAATAGTAGAAGAACTTTGAAGAAACTCACGCCTATTCAAATTGCTGAAACGCTGTCAAAATAACTCTGTACTTTTTGTAAAGCATGGAGTTATTTCTCATTAACTTGCTAGCAAGGAACTTTTATTCACTAACTTGCTTAACATTTTTGTGTTATTATTTGTACTTCAATCTTGTGTAATCTGTTTTTGAGAAGAAATCTTGTAAACACAAAAACCTGTATTCAACATTGAGTTGATTGTTCATCGAGTGACTAAGTGTTAGTCTGTATACTCAAGAAGTCATTGAAAATTTGTCTTTGAGGTTTTGTTTCTTGAGAGACTAGGGATTTAGTCTAGACTCTCAAGAAGACATTGATAGTTGGCCTTTGTGGTTCACAACAGTGACAATTAGTCTTGTTGTGGTTCTGTAATCAGTTTGATTATAGAGGATTAAGTCTTTATTGAGAAGGCAGAATCACCTTGGTGGGTGGACTGGATTAACTTCGTTAACAGTGAATCAAAATAAAAATAACTGTGTTAATTTATTTTTATTTTTTTGTTAAGATTTGGTGTTTGAGTTTTGAGAAATTTTATTATGTGAAAGCCAATTCAAACCCCCCCTTTCTTATGTTTCTTTCACCTTCACTTCCTACTGACTTCCTTGAAGATCTTCTATGTCTTGGATCCTGAATTGGAACTGACTCTAGAACTGCAAGACAATAATTCTAAGGAACTCAAGAAAGAACGCAAAAAATGAAAGGATGATGATCTGCCATGCGGTGGATATATTCTGAAGACACTATACGATCGTATCTATAACCTGTACACAAACAACTAATCAATAATAGAAATATGGAAGACACTCGAGTTCGAATTTTGTGTTGAGGAAGAAAGTACTAAAATTTTATAATTTCAAAGTACTTCATTTTAAAATGTTGGGTTTAAAGCCTATACTTGCACAAGTGAATGAGATACAAAATTCGTGCAATTATTACAAAATTTCCACCTTTCTGGAAAATCAATAGAAAAAAGTTGCTTCAAAATTACAAGGACTTCTCACTGGAGAAAATCCAGAAACATATTCGAATTAAGAAGGAATCGAAAGATAGAGAGAAATTTGAGGCTGGTGAATATTCTAAAGCCAATATGCTGAGAGTAAAAGACAAGAAGAAACAAGACAGTAAGAATAATTACCTTGGATCGAACCTACATCTGACACAGTGTGATCGGTGGGAAAGAGAACTGATTGTTTTTGGAATGATGGTTCACGTTTTGCGTTTGTTTTCGCAAAATGTCGCGGTAAGCAAGAGTCGCCACCGTCTTTTATTTTATCCAACAAGGAAAGGACAAAAGCACAAAAAAATTCCTTTTTGAGATATTTCTCGGGTTCGGGAGGTAGATTATGGAAAGGGAAGGTGTTAGCACCCTTTCTATCCGTGGTTATCCACGGGCTCTTAGGTACTTGCTTATTGAGTTTTCAAAAGTTTGCTTTTCTTTGTGTTTGTGGGTTTGAAAAGAGTTTTTGTTTTGAAGAGAGTGTAAGTGCGACAAGTTTTGTTTTGTTTTAAAAGGAGCAAGTACTTAAAAACCATCTACCTACTCGAAAAAGGAATTAAACTGTACTAATGTCCTTTAGACAATGCTATCCCACTATTGAGGAGTAGGTAGCATCGTCGTTGGAGTTTTCGGGTCAATTCGATTAAGGGACGTGTGGTCACTAAAGCAATGTTATGACGCCTTAGTGGTAACCCTAATGTCTTAGATCATTTTTTCCGAGGCAACCGTTTCGAGGCAACTTAGGATCTTTGGACAAGAGGGCGACCTCTAAAACTTCCTATACTCAATGACCACGTTCGAAGGCAACCAAGTGAGGTGTACCCTAAGAGTGGCATGTACAAGTGTGTTACTTCAGTTAATTTTATCTGTACATGTCATGGGTGAGCTATATTGATTTTAGGTTAAATATTGATCTTGTCATACATTTCCTATTTATCAAACATCTAACAGTTAATATTGTGCGGAAATTAAATTGCGGGAAATTAAATCTAAACTATTACAAGGCGTCGGGTATTTACATCGCCAAAAACAAACCCTTTAATTTAAATTGCGGAAAGTAAAATAAAGCGATAAATAATTAAAGTCCTAATTAAAAGCTATTACATTCCGGAAGCAATTACAATATTGGAAATAGATGGATCGCGTGTAAGAAAATTAAATCGGCGTATTTTTTAGGGTTTTGACCCTTTTTGAAAGAAAGCATGTTTTTTTTTGTTTTTTTTGAAATTATGGAATTAAATTAAACGAACAATTAAATTAAATTAAATAATGAAAATATTTTTGGATTTTTGTTTTTAAGGAAATAAAATAAAAATGGTTAAAAGTTATTAAAAAAACCTAATTCTACATTAATTTTAATTTATTGCAAAAAATATTAAATGTTAAACCTATTTAAAACTAAGTTAATTAATTAATATTTATTTACAAAAATAAAATAATGAAATTAATAATAATAATATTTTTTGTGTTTTCTGATTTTATTAGGAAAATTATTAATTAATTAATTAACAATAAAATAATAAAACAATTTAAATAAAAGAAATATAAAAAAGGGAAAAGAAATAAACCCATAGGGGGGTGCTGGGCCCAGACTGGGAGGTTGGATTTGCAATTTGAGGCCCAAAACGTTCAAGCCTGCTTTGACTTTGCCAGTTCCCTATGCGCTTGTTGACTTGGACATATGATAGTCCTTCATTCCTGGCCATTGGATTTGATCTTAAACTATTTGGCAATCATCTGGATGGAGGCTTATGGTAGGTCACGCTCCTGATGCTGCATG